GTAGGGGCCTTTTAGAAACCGAAAAACCGCGCAAAAAATCGCCGAAAACCGCAAAACCGCAAGAAATTTCGTCCAAAACCGAAAACCGAAATAAAAGCTCTCACTAACAAAACTTTGGTAGTCTTCGGAATCTCTCTTTCTGTTATTTAATTTTTATACGTCTAAACTTGTTTTACATTCCGAAGTTCTTTTTGCGTATTCCCTCGTTAGTACAGAACACATCGTAGTCTAAAAAGCTCCTTTTTTGTATAAATCGGTTCCACAGACCTATAGCAATGTGAAACTAGCAACAAATTGCACGATAAAATGATTTTAGTTGATTTTTGTTTAAAAGAAACACCACATTCTGAAGTTTTTTTTTTGATTGCCGTTGTCAGAATGTTCATTTGTGTAGGCGCAATGGCGCGCCATTTTACAACCAAACAGTTTCTCCATTGCTCTTATTCCACGTGAACGGAGCGAGTGAGCGCAATGTTATTCTCGCGAAGAAACCGGGAGACAACTCGCAATTGAGCTATAGAAACTTGATGGTCCATAGTCTAAGGTCAAAGTCCACAAGATATTATCCCAGCCGAGTGACATTTGAAAAATAGTCTTTTGCTTTGATGTTATCTTTAGCTTTTCATAGTCTGCTTGGCAGCCGTTACGACCCAAATAACGGCTATTAAAGAGACTAGGCTTTTCATGCATTCCTCTAACTGTAAGTGGTCCCTTGGAATTACAGTTTTAGCGCGACTGCGGGTTGTAACTTCCTTGGTAAAAGCAGCAAAACCGTAAAATGCATTGGGGAGCAAAATCCGAAAAACCGCCATCATTGTTGACAAAAACCGAAAACCAAAGACTAAATTGGAGAAAACTCGCAAACCGCACAAGACACCAAAACCGAAAAACCGAACCAAAAATTAGCCACATTCGCGAAACCGAAAATCCCAACGCCCCCCTCAATAAGCAAAGACAAGTTGTCTTTTGAACCAAGAGTTTTATTATTCTTGCAGTAAAATTACTGTAAAAAATAAACGAGAAGAATTAACAGAATTCGTTCTACTTAAACTGGTGGACATTTAAAAAGATGTTTACTTTTACCGAGACATTCCAATTGAAATTCAGTTAAATGTTGTACATAAGAAAAAGCTATAAAAGACAGCATTCGAAATCCTTACGTTCTTTTATAAAAAAATATCATTTGTCGCTCATTTAAAATGATACTTAAACATACGTCCTATACGTTGCTTGGCAACGAAAGCTAAGATATGCTATAACAGTTCAGTCACATCATTTCTCGTATGGTTTTACTACACAACAGTGTTAAGGTCAGCACACACGAGCGAACTAGCCCCTGCAACAAGTCGCGCGGACAAGTCCCCATCTTGTGAACTAGCCATTTTTGCCACAAAATCTAGTCGCAGAAACTAAAATTTGGTCCCCGCGACTAGCTAGTCCCACGAATTCAAACTGGTTTGAATTTTTGGGACAAGTCCTTACGACTTGTTCCTCAAAACGCTTCGTGTGAACCCTTCGGTGGGACAAGTCCCTGCGACCAGTCCCTTTGTGTAAACTCTTCAGGAGACTAGTTGCAGGGACGAGTCCCCTCGTGTGTGTGTGCCGACCTTTAAGTCTTGACAACTTTGAGACGGATTATATATGTTACAGATGCAAATTTGAAAATTTTAGGGTGAATTTTTTTTTCCATCCTTGACGAAGCTCTTTAAGTGACACGTTACAGTTCAAAATCCACATAACGTCGTGGCACAAAGATATCTTTTCCGTGGTATCAGTAGTCCTGCGCAACAGTTTCTGTCCAAGACGCGATCGAGCCAAATGCTGGTCTCTTGGATGGTTCCTCGTGCCAACACTGCAGCATAAGATTATACCTGCAGCCAAAAGAAACATCATCACAGCAAATCGCAAAACAGAAGATTCGAATTTACGATATGGCTGAAATTGTTTTATTTCTGCCATTTATAAATTATTTTTTAAAAATATCATCGTATAAGGCAAGAAAGCCCAGGGAAGCTAACAGGACTACCTTGAATTTTAAAGATACCTAAGACTTAACAAAAGAATGAAAATGCTGTCATCAACACAGAAAATGATCATAATGTAGGATACAAAACAGTAAGCAAAGCTAAACGCGGAAATGCTCAAAAGCAAAGAAAGACAAAAACGCGAGAAAAGGCACACAAAAGTACACTAAGAGGTAAAATATACTTACACCAAGAAAAATGGCTTAAGTGTAGAGGTGAACACAGCACATTACTAGAGCCAGTTTGAGCTTCAATGCCGAGAGAATTATTGAATGTATACGTTATCTCTTTGTCAAAAATGAATTCAATATACGTACAATTCCGAGCTCATGGCTGGAGTCCTTGGTAATCTGTGACCACTTGCCACGAAGTTATAAACTTCTTCTCCAGTCATTCTATCGTAAGGTCTTCCACCTGTCAAGGGCAATGAAGTAATTAACTAATAAGTGAACCAATTTGACGTCAAGTTTATTTCAGACATATTCTATTTTGTCCCCTGAAATTGTAAGGGAAAATTAAGACGGAGAGATTTGACATTTTGATTTTCAAATGTTTGCATGTCGTTTAGTTAGGGAGCACCACGAAAAACGCAACCTCGTTTCCATGGTATTTTCCGTTACAGGCCATGGGAACGAGGTTGCGATAAACGATGTATTCTTTCTTTTTCTCTTCTTTCTTCGACGATCGCGCCTTTTTCCAACTATCACCCTGAACACTCTATTATACTTATCAAAGAATTGCATTCCTGTTTTCGGACCTGCCTTTGTTTACCGCAGAAGCTGTTAACTGGACATAGAGTCTGAAAGGGTCCTCTTAAATTTAACACGTATAAGCTTACATTTCAAAACCGCCATTGAACCCCCTCACCACCCCTCCCCCTTAATTGACCGCTCTGGTGGCGTGCCAGGGGTTATTAAAATGCAGACTGTTCTGCTTGATTTTGACCGGAATTTTCGAGAGATTTGATCAAAATGGTCATGATTACTTACCTAAAGTGAAAATCTCATACAAGACAATGCCGTAACTCCAGCTACAAGGTAATTATGAGACGAACACATCAGTGTTGACAGATTTACCAAAACCAAATTCGCAATTGACCAATCACAAGTTGTCTTGCGCACACCCCAACCCAAATACTGCAAAGGGAATCTTAATTTTAAATAAAGTTTACGAGAGCCTAAAGCACTGGCAGGGGCCGATCCAGNTTATGGTTATGAAGGTAAGTAGCTCTCCCGTTAGTATGGTTAAGTTACTTTCCTTAAAAAGTGACGTGAAGGATGTCCAAAATTTTAGCTCAAGGTCATTTCGTTTACCACCGGGAAAACCATTGTAAGAGATTTCCCTCTTTTTTCTGATGACGTGTTGGAAAAAGAATCACATTTCGATGCAATCCACAACCAGAAAATGGTGTTATCTGCTGTTGGGAGTATTCTTAATTTAAACCGGAATTTAAAGCGTCCATAGTTTCTGCGTCTTGAAACTAATTTTGAAGTCGTAAAGTAAAAGGTGCTGCAATACGCTTATCTTAAAATGGAACAATTTTTGAAAGGAGTACACGCGAAACATGACTTTCACCTCTTTAAGTTACGCCCCTCGATCAGTGCCATATAGAAAGTTCGCTGGAGGAGTTTTGTCAGGATTTCCCAACTTAACCCAGCTAGCTGTTACCCGGCCATTTCTAAAGCGTCCTGTCTTTCAACTGACTATGATTGATAATAGATCGCGCGAACTCCTTAACTTTCTCTACTCAAATTCCTGAATGTGGCTCTTTGTCTTGGAGTTTTTTGCTTAAGAGATATAGACAAGTATACTAGACATAGCAATTTCTCTTGGACAATTCTGTCCAAGTGGGAAAGGCGCAATGAGGTTAACCCTTTGTGAAGCGCCAGCCTGTGGGACAAGGTCAGACAACAGAACCATATAACACTGAAGATACAGGAGACGGCTTGTAGTCCTCATCCGTGGAGAATTGAACTTCTAACTATTTGCAGAATGATTTAAATACAAAGACGGCACTTCTCCTCAGTTATTTTAAGATCATGAGTGTCTTGATCCGGTCTGGGACTAGTTAAAATTAAAAAGAGTTTGAAATAGTACGCGTCTATACTGCAGGTTGCGAGTTTGGGGGACTGGGCTGAACGACTGAGTTTGAAAAGTCCCGCCGATTCCTCGATATTTTAGCCAAACGCTTTTCAATGTGTGTCAAAGAGTGCAAACTGGCCTACCTTCATAAATTTCCAAAAAAAAAAACAATTATTGGAATGACAAGTGACCGAGAGAGAAGTAAATAAATGAGTTAATGTCTAAATACAAGAGACCTGGTGAGCTGAGATGAATTCCATCCCCCGAGCGATATCAGAAGCGAATTTGTAAAGTTGTTGTTTTGGTATTTTCTGTGGAACTTCTGCGCTTCTCAAGTTGTAATAATCGTCTGTTTCTCCTCTGCTTTTCTTTAAATATCCCAGAAGATCTCCGTGAGGAACAAACTCCAGGATTACAAAAGGCGGTCCTGTGAAAATAAATAAATAAATAAATAAATAAATAAATAAAATAAAACAATAAATAATAAATGTTATAGGAGGCCGTGAAGGCAAAGTCTGTTGCGTTATTGCTGGTTTCCTTAGGAGACTCTTCCAGAAAAGGGTTGCCGTATTCGTCATCTACTTGGATGTATTTTAAGCGGTTTTCAGTCAATCCAAGGTTATAGGAAACAAATGCAGTGAGCTTACTCTGGTTTTGTTCGAGGGGTACCATACTGCACGGAAGATATATGAAAATATTGCTTTTTCTGACAAGAAATGGTACGGACCTCGGGGCGGAGCTGAGGCTGGCCGCATAAAAGTTTGTTGGGTAATTCCGTCCCGGGGCTAGTGGGTTTACAAAACCTAGATTGCTCCGATAAATCCGGATCCCTTTTGCGGACTGAGGTATGAACAAGCAAAGAGACAGCTATATAACTCATTCTGTTTGTAAAGGGCACACGGAAGTAGACTACTAGTTTAGAATGGTGCGGTCTTGTGCAGCTGAACGCATCCTTCATCTGTTAAATCTGTTAACGTTAAGTTGGGGTGGAGACGCTCCACATCAGAAAAGAGGGGAGAGACGCACCTTAAAATTTACCGAACAACTGTGTAGATAAATGAAAAGGGCGTGTTTGAAGAATTTTCTTGTTCATAATACCCAGTTTGTATTTACAGTCTGCGTTATGGGCGAGCGTATTGAAGTATGTGTAAACAGGGCTGACCCATGTGTAAACGCAACGTCTTCTCATGCTTGTGTTTAGGCCTGCGTCGTTGCACCGAACGTGAACGCGGGGGTTCCCTAGCGCAAGTGTCACTCATCGGGCCGCTTTGCAGTCTGAAAGGGCTGCTTTACGCTTTGGAAAAAAGCCGGCATGTTGACTTGTGATCATGCTAGTAATCACTCCTTAAGGGTGGCAAGATTTGATGTAAACAAGAGTTTTCTCTTTTTTCACAAGTATTTTGCATTCACAGATTTTGTCACTCACTAAGATCCCTTTTTCCGTTACAACGAATAACGTCCTTGGTCAAACAGCCCTTCAATTGTATCACGTTTGGATGAGGTTTAAGTTTCTTCAGCAAGTCCAGCTCAGACAAGAGATCCCTGAGATCTGAGTTTGACGCATTTTCTGCAAAAGAAATAACAATAAATCCCAGTATTATGTTAACCATGATGTAAAAAATCATCGCAGGCTGCATTGATTCTATAAATTTGGCGCTCTTGCTCACCCTTAAGCATTTTAACGGCCACAATTGACCAGCCTTGTGCGCCAGCTACATCAAGCACCGCGCCCTTCCACACTTGGCCAAATGAGCCACCGCCAATCTCTTCAAACAATGACAAATGATCTTTTGGTACTTCCCAGTTAGTGGTACAGAGCACGCGCGTGTATGGAGACTCCACACTGCCAGCAGGCCGCAATGAGTTCTGGTAAGGAGTTGCTGATAATTTATCATTCTGATAACCATGCCGCTTTGCGTGACGAGTTCTCGCTCCAGGAAAGAGGTGATTTGATTGGTTAGGAGGGTTGACGCGTGCGCACTGTTGAGCTGCCTCTCTACCATGTGACATATTTGGTTTTAGCATTTCTGTGAATTGCAAGTTCGAGAGCGTTCCAGTGAACGTGGGGTGTTTGAATGGTAATGATTTATCAGTTGTTTTCATTCTTGGTTTAGGTTGAGGGCGGCAATTTAAAGTTTGGGTTTTTTCAGGACATAATCTAGAATTATCTGTGCTTTTATTAGCGACTTTATTGTTGTCCACCGGTTGAAGATAATCCTCCGAAGAGTCCCTTGTTTGGATTGTATCGGTTACTACTCTGTTCTGTCCAAGGGCGTCAAGTGATTGTAACGTCCGGATCCTTGCTCCTTCATGTCTCTGTTGAACAGATCCCTCGTTCGTTTCCATTACAATTTCATTCCGTTCTTCAGAGGAAATAGTTTTGATTTCAGCCACACTGATGTCTTGATTCTGTTCACTTCTTTCACTACCGCTGTGAGGAAGAAACGTTCTCCATGGGGAGGGAGCTGCCTGAGGCGTAGATTCAAGAGTTTTGGTTTTCAATTCAGTTTGGATTGCTGTTAACACAAAGCACTCAGCTGTTCTTGGTTGGTCAAACTCTTCTTGCATGTTTCTGACCGATTTTGTTGGCTGTTCCAAAGTCAAGGATGATTGCGGCGTACTTAATGAGGATTCTGCTAGTATCACGGATCCTGTTTCATTAGCAGTCTCTTGAGCCTGCAATAAATCGTGATTCCAGTCAAAGATCAGATGCCGACAACCAAACAATAAAG